TTTTACTTTTTAGCTAAATGTCTACTCTCTAAATACAGGAGAACGACAGAAATTTACATGTTTCAGAGTGATAGCCATGTTAGTCTGTATCAGCAAAAACAATGAGGAGTCCTTGTGGCACCTTAGAGACTAATAAATTTATTTGAGCATAAGCTTTCGTGGGCTAAAACCCACTTCATCAGATGCACTTCACCAGATGCATGGAGTGGAGTGTATCTGATGAAGTGGGTTTTAGCCCACGAAAGCTTATGCCCAAATAAATTTATAAATTTACATGTATTGGAAGGCCAATTGTGAGGTACTGAATTTTACAAAGTAGCAAATAAGTAAACAAACAAAATTGGGGCGGGGGGGACGTGCATCACAATATGGACACTTAGAATTTAGTTTCAATTATTTATACTGTTTCTGGGTATGCTAATAAATGCACTGCAGTATATTTTGTAAGGCTTATGAGACCTTAGTACAAAAATTCCTCACTATAGTGTCCTAGTAAATCTTGTTTGAGCAGTGGGGAGAGACTAACAATTTTTTGTGCAAATTAGTCAGTTATTAATGGGGCATTGCAGAGACTTCTTGTCTTTTTCCACTTTTGGCACAACTCACAGGATTTACAGTATTCCTTTATGTCCAGCTCTATACCTGGCCAGTAAAAATTCTTCTGAAGCCGTTCAAATGTCCTTTCTACTCCTAGGCCTGGTTTACACTGAGAGGGGGCGGGTGATCGATCTAAGATACGCAACTTCAGCTATGAGAATAGCATAGCTGAAGTCGACGTATCTTACATCAACTTAGAATCACTTACTTCGCGTCCTCGCGGCGCGGGATCGATGGCCGCCGCTCCCCCGTCGACTCCGCTTCCGCATCTCACCGTGGTGGAGTTCCGGAGTCGACGGCAGAGCAATCAGGAATCAATTTATCGCGTCTACACTAGATGCCATAAATCGATCCCCGATAGATCGATCACTACCCGCCAATCCGGCGGGTAGTGTAGACGTACCCCTAGATGTTCATCGAATGGATAGTCATGGGCTAAATGTAGTAATGCTGACCTGTGCTTTTTGAGTATTATCAGTTGTTTGTAGTGCTCCCTGTGGCCCTTGTTCTTTCCCATTGGGGCTTCCCTAAATATCCTGCCTTCTTTCATAAAAAACCTCCCCCATCATCTTTTGCAGGGGTATTGCTAATGTTCTCTAGGAAAACATCTGTGTCCCGATCCCTAACAAAGGCTCCTTGCCTCTGGATGATTTGGAGGGCTGCTTCAGTAAGAGGAGCTGATACCCCCTCCCTGGCATAAAGACAAATCTCACTCTTTATAATTCTCTACTAATTAAGTTCCCTTTTCTAATAGAAGTTACCTATTGCCTCTGAACAGTTTTCCAGCGTGTCCTATGTCCTAGAGGGGATCTAGTGCTTCATGGACAGCACACCTATGCTGGCCCTCAGTTTCTGGATAGCCTTCACTTCAAGTCCCTTCCCTTTTAACAGGGCTTGTGGATTTTTTGGTTCTGTTTTGGTTTGGTTTTTCCTTTTTCTCAGACTAATTCATGGTTACACAGAGTGGAGGGTTTCTTCTCAGTTTCAGTGTTTTCCCATTAACGTTAGTGGTCCACCATTGTCTCTTTCTGGCTGGACAATGCTCAGTGGTTGGAGCTGGTTCATGTAAATACCTGGCCCGGGAGGTGCCCTCTCTGCCTGATTGTTTCACCATATTGCTGTGAGGTGATGCTCTAGTTGCACTATAGTTACAGTTAAAATTTTCTGCACCTATATACATGCGTGCATCTATAATCATAACTTTATGCAGATCTCCTAATGACCAATAAATTCAGGAGATTACAAGCATTCATAAAAGACCTTACATGACATATATTTAATACACAACCAATTCATTCAATTGCTTATTCTTTGGCGTTCAGACCTCCCGTTTTCCTCTTGGGGTGTCTGGACCATGATTTTCACATCTTATCATAGCTAAATTATCATATGCCATATCCATGCTCAGTAGAACAGAGCTACTTTTGTATATTATCAGCCTGTTTCCTTTTGTCTAGTAATCTCTCAGAGACGTGACCATCTTTATCATCTCATGATTTGTGAATTCACTGTATATTCTCTTGCTGTGCGATATGAATTTTATATTTCTATCCCTAAATCTACTTGGAACTCTCTTGGTGGTGATAATGGCATATTGGGCCTTTATTAAAAAGCATTCCTCACCTCACTCAACTCATAGAAGAACTAGTTAGCAAATATTTTCCCAACAGAGGCATGTTGCTCAGTAAGCTATTGGTTCAGCTCTCTTGATTGCTGCAATTCTTGAAATGGAATTAATCACTGATTTCAAAGGTAGTGCACTGCATGAGCCAGGGTAGCTGTATTTTGAGATTTACCTGTTTATGTAACTATGCATTCCAAATCCTATTTTTATATCTGGAATAAGAAATATTCTCACAGTTAAACTAATAGGAAGAAAGGAAAGACTTGAACCTGCAAGTTGAGGAGTGCTTTGGCTCCATTTTGCTGGCTCAGATGCAGAGTGACGAGCACCTTGCAGAATCAAGCCCTAGATGCAGGATGGAGTGGGCAAGAACAGAAGCAGTGAGACCAATTATATTCATGCATACACATCACTATATGTACCACTTTATAACAGAGTTCTCAATGTCCATGACTAGGCCATGTGTTCATATCTCATGGCAATCCTGAGAACCAGAGAAATTTTCTGTTGAGACTTCACATCTTAAAAGGGGGGAAAACATGTGCAAGTGTTTTCAGTTGCACTGCAGAGCAAAACGGAATTGCTTGTCTCCAGGTCGACAGCCTTAAGGACATCTAATACAGATAGGAAATTAAACTTGAAGACAGTTTAATGGAGGTCAAGGAAAACACATCAAAGGTGACAATTGCAAAACAATATATCTGCTATGAAAGAACTGTCAAATTACGGGAAAACCAGAGCTCACTAAAAATGTGTGAGATCGCAGTACAACTGGTTAATATCAAAAGCAGCAGTTCATTGGCACTCTCATTGCTAACAGAATTGTTGAATATCCCACTTTACATATGAAAGAATTATGGTATTGTGGGCGAGAACAAGTAGGTAAATCAAAGCTAAAGAGAGACTCATCATTTTAATGATGAATCTTTGAGATAATTTTATTAGCAAGAAGAGATCGTAAGGACAAACTTCTATATCAAGGGAATTAGATCTTTGTTTCTGGATTAGAGCTCCATCAAAATACCTCCCAACATTTCAAGAGGCTAAAGTGGCCTAGGTTCTGCCCTGGGTGTTGGTGGTGGGACAGGTGCTGCCCCCAGAGGGTGGGTAGCACTGGGGAGGGGTCAGCTGCTGCCCCAGAAATTGGGTGGCCCTGGGGGGGAGTTGCAGAGTGAACCTTCTTTGCACTCAGCCCACTGCAGCAGCTCCTGTCCCGCAGGGCTGGCTGGGGTTGGCTTCTTACTCTGGGCATTGTGACCTGGCCCCTGGGGCTGCTGAAGATTGGGTAGGCTTTCCTGATAGGGGTGGCCAGACAAAATTTGAGTGAACGGTGCTGTGACCCGATGCCCAGGTTGCAACGCCACCTGCAAAAATCTTTCTGTAACAGTGCTGCAAAGGAATTACTGATTATTTTTTTTAAACAAACACTGGTGAAATGTAAATGTGCATATGGTACCATAATTTTTAAGGATAATAATTAACAATATTTCTGTATTCAAAAGAATTTCCTATATTAAAAAAAATTATAATATGTAAATGTTATTCAGTAAACAAGAATGCTTAGTTAACACATTTCCTACCATTTTCATCTGTTTCAGCCTCAATATTGTATCGTACTTCACTTCAGCTCCTGTTATGTGGAAACACAATAAATATGGTCTTTGTTTTCTTTCTGTGTTTTCCATAATACTGAAGGCTCATTTGAATACCAGAAATAGTGTTTGGGTTCTTAAAGTTTGGGTTCTTAAAGCCATTGGACATCTGTCAGTGCAGAACACCTAGTTCGTATAATTGGGCTTTGCATGCTAGGAAGATAATTACTAAATCAGTTTGTTTAATCCAGAAAAGCATCCAAACTCTGGACTCCCTGGAGCTGGCCTCATTTATAAAACCAGAATAATAAGCATAAGAGGAAATGGTTTCTTAATGCCAACAGCAAATATGAAACTTTTGTAATTGATACACAACACTAATTAAAATATATTAAATCTTTATATACTAATGATCAATGTACCTTATGGCATCCAGTTACTAAAGTGAGAGTCTCAGCTGAATATTCAGTGTAATAAATGAGTATTCTGATTTCATACCCACCAGTAGTTTGAGTCCAGATGTTTTCTTTAAATTGGAAATAATACTGCCAGATCAATTTTTCATTGTACCAATGACCAGTTTTGAGGGTGCTACTGCTGCAACAAGTGTTCACTTTGAATGAGAAGATGGGTATGTAGTTTCCTTTGGCACCTGAGTCTTAAATAAGCATCCAGCAGCTGGAAGTCTCAGGTCCCGCATCCAACAGCCACATGGCAGATATGTATCACTCCTCCAATCAGAATAAAAAGGAACAGCCGCCATAGCAATATTTAAACATTCATGGTGTGAGGGAGAGAAATTTTCTCCTTGGCTCTTAAATTTTGTACATTTCCTTTAGAATGATCCTGTGGACTCTGACAGCTTCTGTTTGTTTTGTCTTGTTGAGTAGTAGTATTTATTATTTGTATTATTGTAGTGCCTAGGACCCCAGCGCTAAATGCTGTACACAAACAACTGAAATACAGTCCATTTCCCAAAGAGCTTACTATCTTGATATGCAGGTTATTTGAACCAATTAGGTTTTCATTTCATATACTTTAAGTGAGGATGTATATGACAAATCTACAGAAAAGCCTTAGGATTATTTTGATCTTCTTAAGCCATTAAGATAAGCATGTGCATAAATCTTTGAAAGCCCTTAATGAGTATTTTATAAATTTATTAATCATTTTTATTTTAAAATTAGTGTTTAGAAAGAGCAATGAAGTTTGCATTTGAAGAGTTCCATCTTTGGTATCAGTTTGCATTGTCCCTAATGGCAGCAGGAAAAGTAAGTCTAATCTTTTCTGTATATAATTCTTTGTATTGGTGGCTAGTAATAATACATCTTATGTAGTGTTTTCCATCTTCAAAGAACTTTGAAAACATTAACTAATCCTCACAGAAGTTCTGTGAATAGTGTACTAGTGAATTTGTGGTCAGCATTGTACAAGGCACAAAAATACAGTTCCTGCCTCAAGAATTTACAATATAGACAGAAGCAATATTAAATATTTGTACTTTGCTGCTATACACATTAAACTAAGCAGTAAAGTGAATGTAAGCTGGTTTATTTTGTTTATTTTAGATAAGTTAGACATTACTCTGGAGAAAAATGCAATAGAGTTTATTTTGTTAACTGCCACTATGATCAATAGAGGTTTGATATTTAGATCCAAGCTCATACGATTCAAACTGATCTTGGAAGACAATCCAATAGACTTCTAAATGTATTTAGTTTGGGACTTCTGTTCACACCATTATTTGTCAAATATTCTTGTCCAGGATGCAAAATCTCATGTACAAGGAAAAATTGAGTTGGAATATGACAACCCTCATCTTATACTTTTGGATACATTTTTTTCCTCTTATGTATGAATTAGTATGGAGAACAAGCCATTTTTGTTACATATTATGAATAGTTAATGTCTCGTGCTTCCACCAAGCCCAGTCTGACTGTGCACATAACTTTACTACAGAGAGAGATAATTTACTGAGAAAATTTTATTTATTTAAAGGACTGTTTTGTGGCTCCCCTATCTTGGAGCCTTTTTTCTTCTGCCCTATCCCCAGTTTAGTTTAGAGTGGCCTCTAAATTACGCTGGGGATAGAAACGGAAGAAAAAAGGTGTCAGGCTGAGGGAGCCATAAAGGGCTGATCTATACTATACCTGTTCAGAAAGGTCCCTTACATGCTGTTAGGCCAAGTGGGCATCACTGGAGTACAGCTTGTTCTGGCTGTATTCGTCCCATCCCTTCACTAATCATGCCTAAGTCTAGGTTTTAGTTACAGGTATTTTTAGTAAAAATCATGGACAGGTCACGGGCAGTAAACAAAAATTCACAGCCTGTGACCTGTCCATGACTTGTACTATATACCCCTGACTAAAACTTGGGTGCTCTGAGGCAGAGGGCGGACTAGGGGTGCTGGGGGTGGGGAGCAGGTCGTGACACATAACCCGGGACCCCCACTGGTATTGAGGAGGGCACCTGGCAGGCCTGGCAGGCTGCCTACCCGGCTCTGCACAGCTCCTAAAGGCAGCCAGCATGTCCTTGCGGCCCCTAGGCGGAGGCGCAGCCAGGGGGCTCCATGCGCTGCCCCTGCCCCAAGCACCCGCTCTGCAGCTCCCATTGGCTGGGAACCGTGGCCAATGGGAGCTGCGGGGGTAGTGCCTGCAGGCAGAGGCGGCGCACCACCGCCTAGGAACATGTTGCCGCTTCCAGGGAGCCCCCCCCCCAAGGTAAGCAGTGCCCAGAGCCGTCACCTCCTCCTGCACCCCAATCCCCTGCCTCAGCCTTAGTCATGCCCCTATTCTGTGGGGGGATCAGAAGTGGAGTGCTATAGACCAAAGGTGAGCCCTTATCTCCGCTGGTAGGGCAGTTTTCTGGTTCTTCTGCACCACTGGAGTGATATGCAGGGCTGGCATTTAATCCAACATGATTGACTATACAGTGTATAAAGTCTTATATATGATCTTACAGATGCTTATGGCGGATTGTTAAAATAAAAATAAATTAATAGTGGTTCCTTCAGCTAGTAAAACAGAAACTAGAAAATGTAACATGGGGGTCTTGCAGTACTGAGATGTTGGGCTTATGCTTTTAGAGTTTCACAGTGAAAAATACATTTTTATACAGGCTGCTCGAGCTGTGAAAGTCTTGAAGGAGTGTATACGTTTGAAACCAGATGATGCTACTATTCCACTCCTTGCCGCAAAGCTATGCATGGGATCTCTTCACTGGGTAAGTTTATATTAGCAGTCAGATCAGCAAGGACTGAGAATTTCAGAATGTGACAAATTCAAGCAGAAATGAGAAAATGGTGCAGTAGCAGGGATATGACTTGTTAAGTTGCTGAAAACATAGTATTACTTGATTGCTAATAGTGGTCCTTGTAAATTGCCCTGCATGGGTGAATCCTGCATGGAGCAGCTTGCTGTATTGGACATGTAGGTTTTAGATTCATTTCCAGTAAATTCATGTTGTTTTTTCTTTGCAGTTTGTAGTCTAACTACTTGACAACGCAGAGTGTAGGAGAAGGAGTGGTATATGAATGTGTAGACAGGCCTGGATCTTACAAGGAGCTCTGCATTAGCAAAGCCAAATCAATGTGTGTGCGTGTGATGCAGAATCAGGGCCTTAGTTTCTGCAGTTGTTTGTGGGGTGTTTCACAGAGAAATAAGTCAGCAGGAAAACATTCTTTTTTTTTAAATTGGAAAATGTGACTGTTAGACAGTAGAGGTTGGCAGGTGGGGTTCAGGGACAGGTATTGCATCTGAAAACAGATTTTAAATCCTTTTTTTGTTTGTTTGTTTGTTTAACAGACTAAATTTCAAGTTCACTTGTATCCTTTCAGTGCTAGTTCCCATTTCACCATAGAAATGGGTGTCTCAGCCTTGTGTAAGAGCTATATTCTTTGTTGTGGAGTTAACAGGAAAACTAAATGTAGGCGGAAAAGGGCGGGGGGTCTTTAAAGGAAGTGGTAATGGTTGACATTATTTGTTAAACTGACCTAATGTATATTGCATCCATGGTCTGTACACTTCTTCCTAATTTTAGACTTACTGTAACATAGATTTTGGCTTGCTTTATATTTATGGTTTTGTGTGTGGAGTTTTCAAAAGCAAAAATCTTACAAAGACTTATGTTCATTTTTTGTAATATTTTCAGTTGGAAGAAGCGGAAAGATTTGCCAAAACGGTTGTTGATGTTGGTGACAAAACATCGGAGTTCAAAGCAAAAGGCTATTTAGCATTGGGACTAACTTACAGCCTGCAAGCCACTGATGGTAAGAAAAGAATACACGCATAGGGTATGTCTACACTGCAGCTGGAGTGTGCTTCCCAGCATGGGTAGACAGATGTGCTAGCTTTGCTCGAGCTAGCACTCTAAAGATAGCAGTTTAGCAAAATAGAGAAGGCAGCAGCTCAGGCTAGCTACCCAAGACAAAACAAACCTGCCGAGACCCCCTTGTTATGAATTCAGACAGTTGGCCACCTATGCTACTCTGGCTACACTGCTAATTTTAGTGCACTAGCTCGAGCAAAGCTATCGTGTGTCTGTCTGCCCATGCTGGAAAGCACGCTCCCACCTGCAGTTTAGACATACTCATAGAGTTAGAAAATACCAGAGTCTCATAATGGAAAAACCTCAAACACACCAGCCTCTAAAAGAAAATGGGGTTGTCAAGGCTGGATCCCCACTTTGAACTTTAGGGTTCAAATGTAGGG